AGAAACATATACATCTCCAGAATCACTGTGTGGACCTGGAGGAAACCGTAGCCTCTCTGCAACAACAACTGGAGCAAACAGCACAAATCCTTATGGATGTTGATTTTGAAAGCATAATGCTCAAGACAGAAGTCGCAAAATTGAAATATGAACTGAATCAGCAGAGAATGACAGCTGACCAGATAGTTCAAGAACGCGATGATCTCCAGCTCAAAGTTGATGAGCTTAAGGAGTTCTTGGAGCAAAGAGACACCCTGATCGACTACGGAAAGGAATTCATTAAGAAAAGGGAGAAAGAGATAAATCTTGTGGCTCGAGAATTCCAAAACCAGATGGATGATTATGAGGAAAAAGTCCTTGAGAAACAATTTCATCTGGAGAATTATTGTATGGACCTGCAGAAAGACACATTATCTCTGCGGGAACAACTGGATACGGCAGAACAACTGCATTTACAAGACGAGGCAAGGAATATGAAGCTGGAAACTGAAATCTCAAAGATGAAAAAGCTCCAACAGCAGCAAGAGCAGACGATCCAGGAGCTGCAGACCTCGACACAGGAGCTGCAGGAGGAGCTGGATGAAGCAGAGAAATATCACATCATAGACGCAGTTGAAAACATAAAGAATGTGGGGGAACTTGCAGAGACCAAAATACAACTGAAGAAGTCTGAAGCCGAGAATAAGGCTCTAAAGACTAGTCTGCAGCAGGCTGACAGGGACGCAGAAACCAAGGATCAAACTGTGGCCTACCTGAAGACTTTGCTATCTGACAAGCAAACGGCCGAGGAGGCACAACACAAGAAGGTTCTGCAGGAGCTGGAAACAAGCTTCAAAACTACCCTGAGCAAATGTGAAGAGCTGGAGACGTCTTTGAAGGAATCAAATGATGAGCTGTGTCAAACCAAGCTCCAAGTGGAAGAGATCCAGAACGAGTTGGACAAAAGGGGCCAGAAGAAGAGAAGGAGGTGGTGGAAGTGTTGCAGGGAGTAATCACCTCAACATCACTGTAGTGGGAGCATCTTGACTCGTTTCAACAAATGAGTCGAGGTGCAACACACTCAGGGGGCGGGAAGAGAGGAGGGGAGGGAGTTATTTAACGATATTTAAGACATTTTAACAGATTGCGACACACCATACCACGGTCAGCTTTAGAAGTCTCACTGACCAGTCGAAAATGGCTAAATATTACTTTGAAGAGACATCGATTTAACATCAGCCCTAGCTCAGGTTAACAGACCACACTTCCACAGGTGTGGTCAGGAGCTGTGGGAGTGAAATCCTGTAGTTTTGCTCTCACAGCGCTGAGTCTGAGTGGCTCATGTTAAATATGTTTCACTGTGAACGCTGAGACAGTTCTCAAACACTCAGTGTTTATACGCAGGTCACAGAGTCTGTCTGTGGCTCGCCATATCGCTGACTGTTTGTCAGAGTAACAGAGTTGACTGAAACATTGCAAACAAACCAAAATATATGGAGTGATGGAAAAGGTTTTTCCTCTTTCAGGCGTGAAGGGTTAGCCTATCTTAGGATTTACAAGATGCCTGCACGAATGAAAGGGAAAACATTTCCGATCAAGCCATTATATTTTGGAATGATGATGTCTGTATCAACAACAATGTTTTTACCGTGTCTGTAAAAGACAGTGGTATGAAAGTAGAGAAATAAGTATGAGTATCAGTTAGTCCTGATCTGTCTTCCTCCCAGACATTGTCCTCCCATCTGCTGAATGGCATTTTCAGCATCCTATAGGATATGAAAACATGATGATACAATAGAATGAATAAAAACAATGCATTATATCAACAGGTTTTTTTTCAATTATTATTCAACAGCACAAACCAGGACACTCTCGAAAAATAGATTATTAATCTCAATGAGTTTCTCCTGGTTAAATAAAGGTTCAACAAAAAACCTCTGGATATTCCTGTAGCAATATCTTTGACCACCCAATAATTAGCAGTAAGTAAGTGAGTAAGGTTTATTTATATAGCACATTTTTACAGACAAAGCGCTTTACAATTGTTCAGAGTTCAGATAGTTGTTCCATTCTCTCCACACACGATGACTGAAGCGGGTCGCTGAACACACTGGCGCATGAAAGCCCCACTGAACTCACACATTACATTCATACCTAATGTGGATGTTTTTTGTGGTATGGGAAACCGGAATACCCGGAGGAAACCTACGCAGACACGGGGAGAACATGCAAGCTCCACTCAGAAAGGCCCTGTTCCGACCAGGATTCGAACCCTGGACCTTCTTGCTGAGAAGCGAGAGTGCTATAATCAGCTTACGTTATTTTCCCAAATGGAGCAAAGGAGGATTTGATGTCCTCTGTTGTTATCTCTGATATTCGCGACAAAAACATGGAAATGACCTGTAACACAGAGGAATAATGTAGCAGCAGAGAAGATTGTCCACAATATGCACATGTCCATTCTCCAGGAGGTTAGGACACTGGTGCACTTTTGTTTATAAGGCGATTCCTGGTCTACTGCCCTCTTAGATCTGTCATTTAATCACATGGAGAGATGTTGGTTCTTACTGACTGCGTTCAAGTGACCGTTTGTTGCTCTCTGTTCCTTTTGTCCACACAGAACTGGGAAAAAAGGCTTTTGTATACTCTGCTCCTTTTACATGGAACGTGTTGCAAAAAGGCTGGAGATGAACTACATTTATTTCATTGAATGCTTTTAAGTCCAGATTGAGAGCACCTGAGACGTCCTTTTTGACAGTTAACTTTTTATATAGTCTTATTTAACTGTGTGTAACTTTATCTGCATCTTGTCCAGGACTCCCTTGAAAAAGAGGTTGTTCATCTTAATGGTAGCCTGGTCGTACCACACCATAGTACAAATTACATTTCGTACTAAGGTCTGGAGGTGCTCCATTGAGCTCCGTTTAAAGGTGGGAGGGGTTAACTCCTTTTGCAGATTGAAACGATTGGATCCGAGTTTACCGTGACGTATGTAATGCGCCTGAGTGAGTTGTTAGCATTTAGCCTAGCCATCTACTTTGCTGCTAACAGAGCCCGTGGGGAGTAGCGCCACATTTTTTTTCATCATACATTTGCTAAACATTACTCTGACGAATGGCTTCTGGCTTCAATTTCTTGAAAGAACCAGACCGGATTACTTTACTATCGCATTTTTTGCCATTGCCAAACTACAACCTGCCTTTTTGACGCAAACTCTTGACATCACCCACAACTAACTACAACACCTGCCTCCCTGATCGCTGATTTGTTGGTCGAAATTCAACCGATTGTAATCGCTAACACAGGGACCAGACCCAGATGTTACATGCAGTGAAATGATGATAGAGCTGAGTGTACGGATGGCTGATGGTGCGTTCAGACCGGATCATGCGTTGTGTCGGCTTTCAATGCAAAGTCAATGGTGACGCACGTTTGAGCGTCAAAACGCACGAACGTCTCGGGACGCACAAACGGACTGCTCAGTAGAGACACGCGGGAAAGTCGAAGGGGAGGAGCAGGAGAGGAAAATCGACGCCCACAGGAAATAAACTTTGCTCAAGCTTTCCTCGGGACGTTTATGCAGCGACCAATCAGAGAGCCGCAAAGTGGTCACGGGGACATTAGTGGTCTGAGCCATAGGAGTGTGACGATATATCGATTTGACAATATATTGCGATACTATCTCACACGATCGATTATCGATATGCTTTTTCCGAGTATCGATTTTTTTGCTGTTGTTGTTGTTGTATATACTTATAAGTAAGTATCAATACTTAATATATGGTTACATTATACATTACGTGGCTCCATTCTACGTGTTTTATTGAGTAATTATTGGAAAATCCGCTACGGGGCGCCCCGCAAAAGTGCCGTCCACACTGGCGGAAATCCTCAATAGAGGGAGCGGGAGAAAACATGGCGGTGTCCAGCAAGAAACTAAAAGATGCACCACCGTCACTCAAGTCTAAAGTGTGGTCATTTCGGATTCTACAGTAAGGAAGACACAACAGAGCTGGAGAAGGATTATACCGTTTGTAAGAGCTGCTTGTTAAGAATCAAGTATACTGGGAACACCACGAACATGCATAGCCACTTGCTACGCCATCACCCGGAGCGAGCCGGCTCAAACCTCAAGACTGTTACGAATCCTGCACAGACCAAGATAGATTCCGCACTCCAAAAAAAACTTCCATTTTACTCCCCCAGGGCAATGGCTATCACCCACGGCATTGCTTTGTTTATCTGCAAAGATCTCAGGCCGTACAGCGTAGTGGAAAATGAAGGGTTTCGCTACATGATGCCGGTCCTGGAGCCCCGCTATGACATCCCCAGCCGTAAATGCTTTACCGAAACAAAAATCCCAGCGTTGTATGAGCAAACCAAAACAGAAGTAATGAATGCCCTTGAGTCAGCAGAAAGAGTGGGACTTACATGCGATGGTTGGTCCTCAAGAGCCACGCAGTCATATCTTACGATTACAGCTCACTTTATTAGGGATTGGGAAATCAAATCATACGTCCTTCAAACACGTGAGATGCACGACACCCACACTGGCGCCCACTTTGCAGAAGTACTTCAGAAAGCCGTGGATGAGTGGAATATTTCCACAAAGCGAATAAAAGGGAAAACATTTCCGATCAAGCCATTATATTTTGGAATGATGATGTCTGTATCAACAACAACAATGTTTTGCACTTTACTGCAGCCTTAAAGCGCTTCATGACCTTTGGCTGAAAAGTGTTGACTTTTTTGAAAGTAACTTTTCAAAAACATCAACAAAGTTTGTACCATCTTCAAACCTTAGTCTTTTTCTCTGCATCAAATCAAGAACATTTGACGCCGAGAAGAAGAAAAGTTGGTTTAAGGTTTTAGAGGAAGTTACAGAACGTTCATTTTTCTGCTGCAAAAATATTGAAATTTTGGCCTCAAAATGAATTTTGAACAATTCAGAAGTGAGAGGGTCTTAACAGTATCTACAGAAGGGAGAGGGTCTTAACAGTATCTACAGAAGGGAGAGGGTCTTAACAGTATCTACACAGCGCGTGGCGGACTGAGTGGAAGAAGGAGCTCAGTCTGCTCCTCTTCTTCTTGGGTCCAACCAGGCGGTTGTGGATCTCTGAGATGATGCAGTCGCTGAAACCTTCGTGGATCAAAGCAGTAAAGTGGACCCATGTCTTCTTGTTTCCTGAGCACAGCTCTTTGTAAACGTCACAAGTGATTCTTTTGATGCAGTCCGGACTCTCCTTTATCCTCCACTCCCACATTTGTTCCTCCAGTCGCTGAGACAGCTTCGTCACACCAGAGGATGTGTCGGAGACAGGTCTTTGTCCTGGAGAATATGTCTGGACACCCCCCACGCTAGATCCTGGATCTGACTGGTCTCCCACTGAGAGGAGAGCTCATGGTTCTTCATGATGAGATCTGAGGCCTGGTCTGGGACCTGGTCTGGGACCAGCTGCAGAGGCCTGAGCGGGGTTTCAGAGGGAGAGTATCTGGTCTTTATGGGAGACCTTTCTCGCTTGTTCATGGAGATGCTCTTCATTGGGGTCTGGTCTGGGATCAGGACCAGGGCATCAGAGTTATACCTGATGGTTTTCACCTGCTGAGACTCGCTGATGGATGAAGTCACCTGTGCAGGAGCAACACGGGGAGACTTTTCTGATTCACTCGTGGAAAATCTTTCAACCGGGGTCTTGGTCACTTCAAGCCCACTCTGCAGGTCCTGGGCCGGTCTCTGCTTTCTCTTCTTCTTCTTCTTTGGTTTGGTCAAAGAGCTCTGAGCTGGTTCCTGGTTCTGTGGCGGTTCACACGACAAGGTCTGCTCGGTCTGATGAGTCTCAGTTTCATGGGTCTCAGTCTCATGGGTTTGGGTCTCGGTCTCATGGGTCTCGGTCCCATTGGTCTCGGCCTCACGGGTCTCGGCCTCACGGGTCTCGGCCTCACGGGTCTTGGCCTCACGGGTCTCGGCCTCACGGGTCTCTGCCTCACGGGTCTCGGCCTCACGGGTCTCGGTCTCATTGGTCTCGGCCTCACGGGTCTCGGCCTCACGGGTCTCGGCCTCACGGGTCTCGGTCTCATGGGTCACGGTCCCATTGGTCTCGGTCTCACGGGTCTCGGCCTCACGGGTCTCGGCTTCACGGGTCTTGGCCTCACGGGTCTCGGCCTCACGGGTCTTGGCCTCACGGGTCTCTGCCTCACGGGTCTCGGCCTCACGGGTCTCGGCCTCACGGGTCTCGGTCTCATTGGTCTTGGCCTCACGGGTCTCGGTCTCACGGGTCTCGGCCTCACGGGTCTCGGTCTCATTGGTCTTGGCCTCATGGGTCTCGGTCTCACGGGTCTCGGCCTCACGGGTCTCGGCCTCACGGGTCTCGGCCTCACGGGTCTCGGCCTCACGGGTCTCGGCCTCACGGGTCTCACGGGTCTCGGTCTCCTCGTGGGGGACCCCAGGGGAGTGTCTCTGCATCAGGACTTCTCCAAATGAAAGAATGTCCCACTCCTCCTGCGTCACCTCCATCTGCTCCATCAGAGGTTCTGCAGAGACATGAGCTCGACCCGGGGAAGGGTTTCTCTCACTGACCTCTGTCCTCGCTCTCTCCTGTTCTGACTCTTCAGTGGCTTCGATGGACGTCTCCACTTCCAGCACCTCTGTTTTCAGGTGGCTCTCAGTGAGACCTTTGGAGATCTCGGCCTGGATGAGTCGGTCCCACTGGTCGGAGAAGGTCATGTGGGGCAGGAACATAGAAGCCTGAGCAGCGATGTGGTGCAGAGTGCTCCGTGCTGTGGAGCAGTCCTTCTGCTCCACCAGCAGCAGACTCTCAAAGCCACAGTTGTCCTTCAGCACAGAGTTGACCGTCTTAGTCACTTCTGCACTGAGGAGTTTGATGACTCGGTCCAGGGCGACGAACTCATCTGTGGACTTGGTTTTCAGGAAGGTTCTGAAGATGGGGCTGAGAGAAGCTCTGACTCCTGTGTGCGACACCTGCACCTCACCAGGGGAACACTCATAAAGGCACTTCCCGGTCACCAGCGCCCTGAGGACCTCATTGGCCGACACACGGATCAGATCCATGAACATGTCCTCCATCTTGGCCTTGGCCTCCTGCTCAGTGATGTCCTGAGCTCGAAGTTTGTCCCAGAAGGATCTGAGAAGACACTTTATATCTTCTCCGATGACGATGGGCAGATCCTCCAGAGTCGTCTTGCTTCCACTCATGGCCTTATCTGGCGACCTCTGAGTGGAGTAAATCTGGCCCGACTGAAATCTCTCTGAAAATCTCTGGGTCTGTGGCCCCGTCTTGGCGTCTCCTATCTCCTGTAACATCTCTCTATAGAGAGACCTGTCCTTGTTATTGCTTCCTGCCATAATGAAGATTAAACTAAATGCTTTCTGTGGTTAGGGTTAGGGTCTATCGATGATCTATCAATGACACGTAGAACATTGCGTTTCCATGGTAACGGGATTCTATGGAATGAATCCAGGTGGAAACACGTTGCAGTGTGTTACCATGGAAACCCTCTGTTTGGAAGTTGTTTCTATAATGAATATAGTGGTGGGAAAAAAAGACGATTCTGTACAGTATCGCGATATTCTGCGCAGACAATTAAATGAATACAGTGGAGCAAAGTATTGGACTATTTAATTGAATCTGTTTTACTTCAGGGTTGAGGTGAGGGAGAGAGGGGAGGGAGAGGAGGGAGAGAGACCTCACTCATTCACCTTTATCTGTTCTGACAATAAACCAGTGTCCTGCAGCTCCTGAACATTGAGTCAAAATAAAGAGTCCAGTGTGTGAGGGTCAGAGCGTTACCTTCCAGTTCCTCTGGGGGTGACCTCGCAGAGAGGGCAGAGGGGGCAGACAGGGCAGAGAGGACAGACAGGACAGAGAGGGCAGACAGGGCAGACCCAGGAAGCAGGAACGACCTCTGGACAGAGTCTGCATGAAGAGGGCCTTGTACGGAGCATAGTCCACCACGCCCACCTGGTCGTGCAGCAGCTGAGGACACACCATAGACTGTATTAACGGATGTAGTCACGCCCATCTGCGTCATTCAAACTATTGCTCCACCACTTTCGCCGTCCATGTAGCTCTACGTCCATGAGGATCTACAGCCTCAGTCCTGGGTCTACAGCCTCAGTCCTGGATCTACAGCCTCAGTCCTGGGTCTACAGCCTCAGTCCTGGATCTACTACAGCCTCAGTCCTGGATCTACAGCCTCAGTCCTGGATCTACAGCCTCAGTCCTGGGTCTACAGCCTCAGTCCTGGATCTACAGCCTCAGTCCTGGGTCTACAGCCTCAGTCCTGGGTCTACAGCCTCAGTCCTGGATCTACAGCCTCAGTCCTGGGTCTACAGCCTCAGTCCTGGGTCTACAGCCTCAGTCCTGGATCTACAGCCTCAGTCCTGGATCTACAGCCTCAGTCCTGGATCTACATTGTCACTGGTCTAAGGCCGCCATCTTGTGGACACAGATAGAAATGCTGTTACTACAAGATCCCTCGAGTTCTTTTCACTTCCTCCTCAAACTGAGCTAGTTCAAAGTACCTCCTTCGCCATTTTTATGAACGTTTATGGCATATTTGAAATGTGTAAAACATCTCCTTCACTGAATATTGAATAATTTTGTCTTATTCAGTCATTTTTTAAGTCATTGTGTGTATACTCCTGTACTGTATACTTTGGTGAAAGTATGCATTTTACCAAATTTGGAAGCAGTCAGTTTCTTCACTTCCCCCGTGCTGACTCCGCCCACCAAGGACTCTCAGCCAATCAGACAAGAGTCGAGTCCATTTTTAAAACACATGGCGTAAACATGGCGCAACCACGAGATGATTCTCAACAGCAAAAGCTTCTCTTGTGTGAAGGCAAGGCAAGTTTATTTGTATAGCACAATTCATACACAAGGCAACTCAAAGTGCTGAACAAGATAGCATCAAAATCATAAATAATCACAGAACATTAAAACGAAAGATAAAAATATAAAATCCCTCAGTTGTATGTGTAACACCGACGAGGGGTAATTACAGGGTAAAAATTCCTATCAGTATCCTATGGACCAGAATCAATCAGCTAAGTTCGTCTACTGGAGTAAAAGTTGGATTACAGAACGTAATCTGGACACTAAAGCTGAAACGTGCGATTGAAAGACACGTCACAGAAGAATTCATGGCTCGACACAAATGCAGCCTGAAGAAACCAACACAGAGAAGTGGGAGAGACTGTTTTCAAAGCAATATCTGAGAACCATCGACTGATGAAGTTTGGTATTTTACTGAAGATTGTTGACAAGTTTTATGAAAGATCTGAAAATGTTTTATGAGTTTTCTGAGTTTTTTGAAGTACCGAGTGAAGTACCAAGTTTAAGTATTGAGTTATGATGTTATGTTGCTGTTTATCGATCCTGATGGTCACACGTGAATGTGTGACCAGAGGGGGGAATGTGAGATTTCATAACACTTTTAAACAACTTTTGTTAAAGTTAAACTCATCATTCTATCAATGTGCAGAAGCCTGTACTTTTCCCTTGTTTTGTCTATCTGAAGGCCAAGCTACATGGCACTGTGGCAGCTGCTGATTGGAGGTCTCCATGCCTCCGCTCTGTATAATACACTTGCATTCTGTTGTATCTGTTGTTCGTGCTGTCTCTACCATCGACAATAAAACATGTCTTCTGTCTGAATTTAAGACGCGATCCCAGACTTTGTCATCTTCTTCAGGTGGTGGAGGATGCGGGCCTTGTCTGTAACATCTAGAGAACAGAAGACTACTTTTTTAGTCATAATTTCAATATTTTTTATTTTTATACACACATTATTAACTAAATGTTGCGTTCTAATCTTTTTTTAGGAGGAGGAGAGCGCAGTCAGGCCAGGCTCGCCTCGCACATCTTAACACTAGAACGCCCAGCCAAATTTGGGGCTAGTTTAGACTTGGGTTGCTAACATTTGCATGTCAAATGAGGTGATGACCGAAACAACAGGGGGCTAGGGTGGGCTTTATTTATTCGTCTGGGGGAGGAAGGGCTGCGAATGAGTGACTTCCAGACTGTGAACCCTGAGAATTTATATACTGTATATATTTTGTAATAACATTTTTCTCAGTGGCTTTGGTGCATTTAAAGTTCTCGAAACTATTAGTCAATTTTTCTCATTTTGTAGCATTTAAAATCAATAAATCTCACTAACCAAAAAAAACCTGTGTGTTGACCTCTCCCTAAGATGGCAAAGTAAAGTGGTGTGTATTTCACATATGTACTGCATATGCAATAATACAGTAACTTATGTCTCTTTATATAGAACAAACATACAAAAAAGCGTTATGGTAGAACTCTGATAAATGTAAACAATATAACACACCTCTTCATGAGTGAAAGCTGTAATTCACCTAAGAGCAATTGTTCAAATTTAGAAGGGATTTTTCAGGATATAAAAAGATAGAGGAATGTATGAAATTAGCTTGACAGTATGTTTCATTCTGACTGAAGCAAATGATAATGTTATAAAACAGTATGTTTCATTCTGACTGAAGCACATGATAATGTTATAAAACAGTATGTGTCATTCTGACTGAAGCACATGATAATGTTATAAAACAGTATGTTTCATTCTGACTGAAGCACATGATAATGTTGTAAAACAGTATGTTTCATTCTGACTGAAGAACATGATAATGTTATAAAACAGTATGTTTCATTCTGACCGAAGCTCATGATAATGTTATAAAACAGTATGTTTCATTCTGACTGAAGCACATGATAATGTTATAAAACAGTATGTTTCATTCTGACTGAAGCACATGATAATGTTATAAAACAGTATGTTTCATTCTGACTGAAGCACATGATAATGTTATAAAACAGTATGTTTCATTCTGACTGAAGCACATGATAATGTTATAAAACAGTATGTGCCATTCTGACTGAAGCACATGATAATGTTATAAAACAGTATGTTTCATTCTGACTGAAGCACATGATAATGTTATAAAACAGTATGTGTCATTCTGACTGAAGCACATGATAATGTTATAAAACAGTATGTTTCATTCTGACTGAAGCACATGATAATGTTATAAAACAGTATGTTTCATTCTGACTGAAGAACATGATAATGTTATAAAACAGTATGTTTCATTCTGACTGAAGCTCATGATAATGTTATAAAACAGTATGTTTCATTCTGACTGAAGCACATGATAATGTTATAAAACAGTATGTTTCATTCTGACTGAAGCACATGATAATGTTATAAAACAGTCTGTTTCATTCTGACTGAAGCACATGATAATGTTATAAAACAGTATGTTTCATTCTGACTGAAGCACATGATAATGTTATAAAACAGTATTTCAACCTGGAGAGACTACAAGAGACGAGATGCGTTTAAGAGTTGTTTATTTTATGGATTGAGTTTGTTTATTGGTTTGGAGCTTAGGCCCCGGCAGTGGCCGTGCTCTGAAGAGATCTGCGCCTGGGTGCAGATCATGATCCCCCGGGGCCTAGACACTGGTGGTGGCAACAAGTCAAGGTGAATGTGAGAGTGAAGAAATCCTGAGGCGGAGGTGGGGAGGAGGTGGTTGCAGCTTGAAGTCCGTTTGGTGAGCTGTGCTCTGCTTTGCTCTTAAACGCTGGCTTGATTGACACGGCTGCGGGGAGTTGATTAAGACAGGCTGAGTAAGGCGTGGTCAAGCCTGGTGTGATAACGTAGGTAGTCTACCATACTGAACCTCCGCTTAAGCTCCATTTCAACCTGGAGAGACTACAAGAGACGAGATGCGTTTAAGAGTTGTTTATTTTATGGATTGAGTTTGTTTATTGGTTTGGAGCTTAGGCCCCGGCTGTGGCCGTGCTCTGGAGAGATCTGCGCCTGGGTGCAGATCATGATCCCCAAAAAGAGAGCTTGGCTAGCGATGCGTTTGCCATGACTTGGTTGCTGCGTTTATGGAAGGCGCATGGTGTGAGTGACTGTTTCCGTGCGCGAGCTCGGCTCTGGCGCTAGGCGTTGGCACGCGCACGAGCTCGGCTCAAGTGCGCGGCGTAATGCCCGGGCGCAAGCTCGGCTCTAGCGCTAGGCGTTGGCACGCGCACGAGCTCGGCTCAAGTGCGCGGCGTAATGTCCGTGCGCGAGCTCGGCTCTAGCGCTAGGCGTTGGCACGCGCTCGGCGTAATGTCCGTGCGCGAGCTCGGCTCTAGCGCTAGCACGCGCACGAGCTCGGCTCAAGTGCGCGGCGTAATGTCCGTGCGCGAGCTCGGCTCTAGCGCTAGGCGTTGGCACGCGCACGAGCTCGGCTCGAGTGCGCGGTATGCTGGAAATGAGGAGTTGCCACCACCAGGAGATGCATACGTACTTATATGAGAGGAGGCGCTGGGCTGCCAGAACGGATGAATGTGGTAGAGAACCGGGGACCGAGCTCCTGGAGAGATGATTGAGGGAGTCCCAGGGCAGCAGTCCAAGTGGCTGCTCCTATCCGGAAGGAGTGGCGGGTGTAGAGAAAGGAAGAGAGGTTACATGCAGGGAGCAGAGGTTTTGAATTTGTTCAGACCAGGGGGTCGTCGAGGGATTGTTTAAGGAGTAATTAAAGTCTATGAATGTTGATAAAATGTCCATAGATGTTGTAGAATGTTAAAGTATCCTGGATCATCACCACGGGCCTCCTAGTTGGACACTAACTGTCCAGACCCTCCTGCATGGCAAGGAAAACTCACAAAACCCCGTGGGGAAAAAAGTGAGAAACCTTCGGAAGACCCTACATAGAGAGGGAATCCACTCCACGGACAGACAGGCTAGTCGTCCAGGACCTAAACTACAGAACAAGGACCATTGCCAATACTCCTTTAAGGATCTTCTTATGAGGGTGGAGCAGTGTGACTCGAAGTGGATTTTAGAGAATGTATTTAATGCCGATGTAGCTGAGGCAGTGACGGCGGTACCCGCGATGCTGATGTCCAGAGACTGAGAGTGTGCAGTGAGAGGGAAAGGAGAATGCTGAATGAAGGATGAACTGCTGGTGTTTAGAGCGCTGATATTCGAACATGATTCCACTTGGGGAGACTAGAAGGTGAAAATGAGATTCATGAAGTACACTTACCCAGGAAGATTGATGTTCGATAGGAGATCTCTGGACCCCCAAAAACCAACGCACGAGGGCCCGGTCAGAATGAGGGCCAGGGTGCGTCAGGTAAGGCGAAGCGTGAGACAGGCCCGGCGGCAGGAGCCGCACCAGGAGACCAGGAGAGAATATGCCTGGGGAACATGAGAAGGAGCACCGCCTACAGCCACTCAGAGTGCACGCAAACCGTGGCGGGCAGTGCTGCACACCAAAAGCCAATGAGTGCGGCCTGGGGAAGATAGCCGGCCAGGTTTGAAGGCCACGCCGAACAGTACTCATGCAGTCTTAGCAGGCCAGCGTTGCAGCAGGCCACCGTCGCGGCGTTGTAGCAGAGCTTTGGTGCGGCATCGCGTTCCTGCGAAGCTGAAAAGAGAAACCTCGAACCACTATCACTCGAGTGAAAAGGACCAACGGGCAGTGTCAGACCGCGTCTTCAGTCAGACCACGTCTTCAGTCAGACCACTGACCTGATCCTTCGATGCCGGCTCTTCCCGTCATTGTGAAGCAGAACTCTCCTAGCGTTGGATTGTTCACCCACCAATAGGGAACGCGAGTCCATGGTCGACACTGGTTCCACGATGAATGGATGAGAGCACACGAATGCGTCGAAGCATGAGGTCGAGAATGCGGCAGGAGGCGGACACCGACGTGGAAGCGTGTGCGCCGACCGACGTACGGCGATGAAGCGTGCGGCCACCGACGTGTGCTGCGATGAAGCGTGCTGCGATGAAGCGTGCGGCCACCGACGTGTGCTGCGATGAAGCGTGCTGCGTCAAAGCGTGCGGCGTCGTTGAAGCGTGCTGCGTCAAAGCGTGCGGCGTCGTTGAAGCGTGCTGCCTCAAAGCGTGCTGCCTCAAGGCGTGCGCCGTCGTTGAAGCGTGCGCCGTCGTTGAAGCGTGCGCCGTCGTTGAAGCGTGCACCGTCGTTGAAGCATGCTGCATCAAGGCGTGCAGCGTCGTTGAGGCGTCAAGGCGTGCGGCGTCCAAGCGAGCGGCGTCCAAGCGAGCGGCGTCCAAGCGAGCGGCGTCGTTGATGCATGCGGCTGCGTCAAGGCGTGCGCCGGCGTCAAGGCGCGCGGCGTCAAGGCGTGCGGCGTCCAAGCGAGCTGCGTTGTTGATGCGTGCGCCATCGTTGATGCGTGCTGCGTCAAAGCGTGCTGCGTCAAAGCGTGCGCCATCGTTGAAGCGTGCTGCGTCAAAGCGTGCTGCGGCGTAGCGTGCGGCGTTGTTGAGGCGTCAAGGCGTGCCGCGTCAAGGCGTGCGCCGCCCAAGCGAGCGCCTTCGTCGATGCGTGCGCCGGAGTCGATGCGTGCGGCGGAGTCGATGCGTGCGCCGGAGTCGATGCGTGCGCCGGAGTCGATGCGTGCGCCGGAGTCGATGCGTGGAGGAGGAGTCGAAGCGTGGAGGAGGAGTCGAAGCGTGGAGTCGTCGAAGCGTCGTCGAAGTGTGCGGCCACCGGAGTGGCGTCGTCGAAACGTGCGGCCACCGAAGTGGCGTCGGCGAAGCGTGTGGGCGTTGAAGTGTGCGGCCGCCGACGTGTGCTGCGATGAAGCGTTGAAGGGAGGCCGTTGAAGCATGCCTGAAGGCCAACGCACTGGTTAAAACGAACAGTACAGAGGGGCTCGGCCGCGCTCCGACCAATCAGAGCAGCTCATCAGACACGGACAGCCGGGAGGCAATGCAGTGGGCAAAACTTACAGTCCACGGTCAAATAGACAGCTAAAAGGCCAATGCAGACGACAAATGTTATAGTCCATGGTTACAACTGACAGCCTGAAGGTCAATGCAGTGGGTAAAATGTTCAGACCATAGTCAAACGGACAGCCTGGAGGTCACTGCATTGTGTAGAATGTTCATCCCATGAGTAAAACGGACAGCCAGAAGGCCAATACAGTGGTTAAAATGTGCGGTCCATGGTGAAAACGGACGGTCTAAATGCCAATGCAGATGGTAAAACGAATAGCCTGCAGAGCAATGCATCGGGTAAAAACACAGCCTGCGAGCCAATTCGGCGGGATTAACTGACACGCCGCAGTTCAGTACAGTTAATGGTAGTGCGGAAAACAACAAAACCGACACTGCAAAACCGACACTGTACCGTGAGTGGAGGCAGGGAGAAGGGTGGACAGAGGCAGCAGACAACGGCAGGCAGACAGAAGTCCCGTTCCCGGTATGGAAGCGGCAGGGTGCGCGGAGCCTGGCCGCGAGCAGCAGCGGCCACGGGGAGACGAGCTGCAGCGAGTCCGCAGGAGAGGAGCCGCGGTGGAGACACAGCGACCATGGCGCGCAGCCCCCAACATGTGATGTTGAAGAGGAGCCGCGACCATGCAGGACGAACAATGTGCGAGGCGTGAGTAAACAAAATGACGAAGAGCAACCCATTGCAGCTTGAAGTCCGTTTGGTGAGCTGTGCTCTGCTTTGCTCTTAAACGCTGGCTTGATTGACACGGCTGCGGGGAGTTGATTAAGACAGGCTGAGTAAGGCGTGGTCAAGCCTGGTGTGATAACGTAGGTAGTCTACCATACTGAACCTCCGCTTAAGCTCCATGTTTCATTCTGACAGAAGCACATGATAATGTTATAAAACAGTATGTTTCATTCTGACTGAAGCACATGATAATGTTATAAAACAGTATGTTTCATTCTGACAGAAGCACATGATAATGTTATAAAACAGTATGTTTCATTCTGACTGAAGCACATGATAATGTTATAAAACAGTATGTTTCATTCTGACTGAAGCACATGATAATGTTATAAAACAGTATGTTTCATTCTGACAGAAGCACATGATAATGTTATAAAACAGTATGTTTCACTCTGACTGAAGCTCATGATAATGTTATAAAACAGTATGTTTCATTCTGACTGAAGCTCATGATAATGTTATGTGATGTGAGAAATGCACTAAAGCCACTGGAGAAAAACTGTAACTATTCAGATCCTCCCCCTCCCCCTAAGATGGCAAAGTGAAGCAACTTCAGCTCAGCCTGTGATAACAGCCCTATTTACATAACAAAGTTGGCCGTTCACAGGTGATTTCGTTTGTTAGCTAAAATCCTTGGGGTCATTTGACACCGTGGAGGGGATGATAGGTATAAGTGCCAAATGACACCTCCATGCGAGTGCTAGTGTTAAAGCTGCTTTCAATATCTTTTCAAATCTGTTTTCCTTTTCTCCATAGCATGTCTGTAACAAAAGTTCTCATAATCTGAAGTCAGCGTATTTACATGGTTTTATGAAACAGAATTCTGAGAAAAACAGGTTTAAAGATTGACATTCCAAACATAATCATCACAGTCATATAACATGTAAATTTTGAATTACTCTGTTATGGCACACTTGTTTTAGTCACTATGTTGTAGAAGATTAAAAAGATGTTACTTTGGCACTAATTAAACACACAACACTCATGAATTAGTCGAAAATCAAGAATGTATTGATTCTTTCAATATTCAATGGATTGAATTTTGACCTCCTCTTCTTTTTCTTTCTCTTTATAATTTACTGAAAATTAGATATGTATTAGACATTGCCAGTATTATTCTATCAAATCACGCAGTCTAAATATCCACAACCACCAAGCATTTTTTATGCAAGGAGAAACTTAGGTAACTTTAAACACAAATAAAACAAATGGACCTGTCCGACTCGAGTGTCTATGCTTCGTGTGTCTCTGGTTCTGTCCAAGTATGATCCGCGTGTCTCGCGTGTCTCCGCCTGTCTGGGTTCTGTCTGCGTATATGTAAATGTAAATGTAAATGTCTGTCTGTGGTTCTGTTCGGGTGTCTATGGTCCTGTCTGTGGTTCTGTTCGCGTGTCTATGGTCCTGTCTGTGGTTCTGTTCGCGTGTCTATGGTCCTGTCTGTGGTTCTGTTCGCGTGTCTATGGTCCGCGCTCGGAGCCCAGACTGCAGTGCGTTCACTGAGCTGTCAGAGCGGGGGTCACAGCAGCTGCTCCCGGGGCCAGAGCGGAGGATGTAACGTAACGTTCGGTTTATCAAAACATATCACAATATTTAACGTATAACACTAGTGAATTTCACCTCGATTTTTTCAGACATTAAAGACAAGATGTTATATAATAATTGTTTAATGAAAAAACAATTTTGCCACAAGCAACCAAAAGATGTGCAACCAAAATTGCCTCAGACAAGAATCGAACCTGGGTTCTCCAGGTCCCAGTCTTCAATGTTAACCATTTGGCCAACATAGCATCTCTGGGCTAGACAGGTTTGCACGCAGTATGATACCTGAGCGTCTAAGTCGCTGGCAGAGCTAAAGCGGACTTAGCCTGCCACCTTGTGGCGATAAGATGTACTATTTTTCACGCAGCTGCGTGATTCCCGAAAAGCGTGAATGAAGATGACAAAACGAAATGGGACCTACTGTAACATACAGAGTGCCATTACTTTAAGAGCTTTGCCACATATATACATATAAGCTAGCAAGTACATGAATGGGGTGTAGCGCAGCAGAGGTAGAGCAGTTTCAGATTTTAACATATTGCATTGCGGTGGTAATGATCAAAAGAGCCATGGGGTAATTTTACTGTCCTTGAAGAGTTGATTATTGATGTAAAGTTTGTCTACGTTCAGTGATGTTCGCACGTTCTTGAGTCTGTGCTCTTTCATGATAGGGTATAACACTTTCCTCCGTTTATTTACTTTGGGAATTGGTCGTTAAGTCCAAAGTGTGTTCCTTTTGGCTCTTCCTATACTTTTCTCCAGTAGTTTGTCCTGAAAGTGTTCCAACTTTGCTACGATGGGGCGTGTATTCTTTCTTTAGCGTTTGCTTTGCGTGCTTAGCCATAGAACAGCATCTTCTTCAGCAAGGTGTAGGGCCGGTAGTCCACCGGTAAAATGAGTCAGTGGACAGTCGTTCACAATGTGTGCCATAGTCTCTGGAGCACCACAGCTACATGTTGGGTCAGTGGCTTGACCCCAACGGACAAGGTTTGTCGCGCAGCGACCTTGACCTGTTCGGAACCGGTTCAGCGTCTTCCATTGTTGTCGTGGCAGGTCGAAGCCGGGAGGGCGGGCAGATGGCTCGGCTACGAGGGAGCGGTTCACAGCATCTGCTGTTGACCACTCGGCACTCCATGCCGAAATGGCTGTCCAATCCTCTGGCGGTGAATCTAGCCAGACTGGATGTCTCGAAGTAAGGCGCGCTACTGGGTGTGACGTGGTATCCGCATTGAGAGGGATTCGAACGTCTGTACGGACCTTGGCCAATAGCTTGGCTGTTGCTTCCTTTCGACGAAGGTGTGGTGGTGGGATGTTGCTGAGTACCGGGAGCCATGGTAGTGGAGTAGAGCGTAGCGTTCCGGTGATGGTGCGCATAGACGTGTTTAGTTGTATGTCAACTAGCCTGGTGTGGGACGATCTTGACCAAACTGGAGAACAGTATTCAGCCGTCGAGTAACACAACGCAAGTGCCGTAGTTTTTAATGTCTGGGCACTCGCACCCCAGCTTGTCCCAGCTAGTTTACTGAGCAGATTGTTCCGAGTGCTGACCTTCGCTGCTGTTTTCTTCAGATGCTCGTGATATGTCAGCGATCTGTCCAAGGTAACGCCCAGGTAAACTGGGTTTGGGTCATGCTTGATCCGTTGCCCCTTTAGGTAGACGTTTAACTCAAGGCGGGCCTTTGCATTGTACAAATGAAAGACACTGGATAGTGTTTTTGTGGCACTTGGCTGGAGCCGCCACTTAATGAGGTACTCAGCCATTAGTTCCATGTCTTCGTTTAGCAGGGGCGTGTATTGCTTGAGCTTTTTCCAAAGCGGTGAACCCGATGAAAAGTAATGTTGCGTAGTGTTTCCGGGGCTATTTTTAACTTTTCATGAAGTCTTTAACAAAGTTTTCAATGTTTTCATTGCTTATTTCCGGGTTCTCTGTCAGGTTCTCTGTAGGTTCTCTGTAGGTTCTCTGTCAGGTTCTCTGTCAGGTTCTCTGTCAGGTTCTCTGTCAGGTTCTCTGTCAGGTTCTCTGTCAGGTTCTCTGTAGGTTCTCTGTCAGGTTCTCTGTAGGTTCTCTGTCAGGTTCTCTGTCAGGTTCTCTGTCAGGTTCTCTGTAGGTTCTCTGTAGGTTCTCTGTCAGGTTCTCTGTCAGGTTCTCTGTCAGCTGAGGTCGAGCAGTTGTAATTTACATACTATGGGACTTTTTCTGGGTAGCCCTCGTGAATTTAGTCTGCAGTACCACAGCGCCCCCTGTGGCCATGGGTGGGACAGCTGTAAGCTAGTAATACTCTATCCAGTTATTATTATAGATCCATGCATGAACTACTGAGCACAAGCCACTGGTTTGAACAGGACGCCATCTTGGATCACAGGGCTTGGTCTGAACTAAAACTCTTCCTGGAACTGGTTTGACGCCTTTGAACCGCTCCCAGCTCACACACACTTTTGATATGAGGAAGAGAGAGAGAGAGACCAGAGAGAGACCAGAGAGAGACCAGAGAGAGACCAGAGAGACCAGAGAGACCAGAGAGAGAGAGACCAGAGAGAGACCAGAGTGACCAGAGTTGTATTATGTTTGAAGCCTCTTTCACTGCAACTTTCTGACGACAGGATTTTCATCAAAGTGAGGCCTAAGTCCTGTGGATACAACTGTGAGGGAGGTGTCCTGCTTCATTTAGAGGTGAGTCCGAGACCAGAGAGAGACCAGAGACCAGAGACCAGAGAGAGACCAGAGAGAGACCAGAGAGACCAGAGACCAGAGAGAGACCATTGAGAGACCAGAGACCAGAGAGAGATCAGAGAGAGACCAGAGAGAGAGACCAGAGAGAGACCAGAGGGAGACCAGAGAGAGAGATTTGATTTTTTATTTGATTTGATTTGATTTATTCGAGCTTACATTTTTACAATGTCATTTAAACATGTTCATGCATTGTTACATGTATTTACTTTAAACAGAAATACATGTTAGTAATAATACATAACATATGTCAAAAACGTTTTACAAAGCTGGAAAAGGGAGTGAGAAGAAGTAAACGTATGTACTCCCACCTCCTCTGATACAGAAGCAGTTGTGATATTTTATATAAACATACATTTACACAACACTCTTAATCCATTACAAGAATGTGGAAACTGAATTCAGAACTACATGATTATAGCACAAAGTGCATTCAGTTTGATCAGAAAATAAATAAAGCATTATCCATCCATCCATCCATTTTCTTCCGCTTCATCCGTTGCCGGGTCGCGGGGGCAGCAGTCTAAGCAGAGACGCCCAGACTTCCCTATCCACACACACTTCCTCCAGCTCGTCCGGGGGGACT